GTTATTTCAAGATTTATGTAAGTCCCCTGCAAAGTTTTTCAGTATTGCCAAATGTCAAAAAGTAGTTTTGACGAATTGTTAGGAATAATTGGTTCATCAATAACATATGTCCAGAATAAGACTAAACTGCTTCAAAACTGCAACTAGACTATCACAAGTGGGTGCATATCCATGCCTGTCTGTGATTCATTGGGTAGAGCAACAGTCACATTGCAGCAAAAATAGGTACGGTTGCAATTTTTTAATCACTGTGATTGTTTACTCGCAAGTATATGCACTTGTATTGGAAACAATGAGTTTTATTTTTGTGACTGAAAAATCACACAACTAGAAATTGCAAGTCAAATTTTAATAGCATCAACCCTAATACACAAATCTCCCTGAAAAATTTCAAAATTTTTTAGCAAAACGCACAGGGGTCATATTAAGCTTTAAAGAGAGTGAACAAAATCATGCCCCCCACAAACACACAGACACAAACTAACAACAATACATACAGAATTCCTTGATATTTCAATGTCTCAAGTCCAAAAAATGTAAAAACCATGGGAGTCATTTTTTGACTGATTGTCATACTTTCCCTCTGTTATATATAACAGAGCTATGAAAGTAAAAATTATCTTAAAGTTTATGACTATACAAAAATATATATATATTTTCAAGTCTAACTTTTTATCCAGTTAACACCAACCACATGTGTTAAATGGATAAAAAGATAGACTTGAAAATGTATATATTTTTGTATAGTCATAAACTTCAATATAGAAGATATCCAGAATTATCACATAAAAATTATCTGTTCCTCCTCTTCCAAATCCTCCAGCATATCCTCTTGCACCTTGAGATACTACTGTTCCTCCGCTTACTGTAGCAGCACTTGATTGTGGAATTCCATGCAAAGGAGGAGGAGGGGTTGGTGGATAAACAATATTGGATAAACAATAATAATTTGATCCATAATCAAATGGATCAAAACTTGTTTGGCTATATATATATATATATATACACACATACACAGTATATGGGCCATAACACTGTTAACAGTTGTTTCTGAATTATAGACTTCTTTGTTTGATAGACCTATCAACTGGTTTTGCCCAGGTTACTTCTATTGCTGAACCATCAAGAATATAATCTTTAAGTGAATCCAATGCTTTTTCAGCATTTTCTCTGCTCTTATAATGTACAAAAGCAAAAGCTCCCAACTTGTTTACTTTTTTAACTTTTAAGGAATTGTTACAGAAGAATACATCTCTAATTTTATGTTTTGTTGAAGACAGAATCAAGTTTCTTACAAATAAAACAGTTACTTAAACTGGAGTACATATAGGTCTCAAAGTAAACGGATTAGTAGAAATTAGTTCCATGTTACATTGGGGTTCAATAAAACAATCCTCTAAAAGCAGGAGTATCAAACTGGCAGCCCCTGATGTGATTTTTCATGGTCCGCAGCCACAATGCTCTGAAGATAAATAAAACAGCTTACAGATCAAGATTAACTGATAAACATCTATCTACCATAATAAAAATTGTTCTGTCTTTGAATCCAGATATTGGAAAACTAGGAGAAGGAAGATAGCACTGGCAAGTTTCCAGTGATAACAATTAATTGTAGTTTTATAAATATGTACATTAAATAAAATACAGTGTGTGATCAGTTAACGAACAAATCGGATAACGAACACTTTCGCAAAAGATTTTTATGATCGGACAACGAACACTTCACTGAACAAACATAAAAAGAAGCAATGGAAAATAATGAATACCAATTGATTTTCCCTTGTCTTCAAGTAACAATTCGAAACCTTTCGGAGCGCAGGAGATGTCAACATCGATGCTCAACCCGATACCAATCGGACAGTGTTTCCCCGAAGTTTAAAACTCTCCATTGTAATTCCAGCTTTTTGTTTACTTTTCTGATGAATAATTTTTTTATAGTCTTCACGAGACTGTCGAGCACACCGTAAGTTTTGTGTCAGTTTTTATTTTCTAATGGTAAGAGTTTAACTGTCCTATCAGATATTCGTTAACATTTTAACACTAAAATTTTGAATTACATTTGGTCCTCACATTTACATAATTCTTTCATGTGCTAGTTGATTTCTGTTCTCTGAATTTTTGTAAGTGCTTTTCTGAACTTTTTATTTCAAACAGAAATTGATAATATTATGGAACATAAAAGAAAATGGAGTGTCAAGCAAGAGATAATAGCCACCATAGAAACCAAGCAAGAGATAATAGCCAAAGTAGAGAGTGAGCAGAAGATGTTGCTAGGCAGTATTGCTTGAACAGGTCTACAGTAGGCACAATCTTAGCTAAGAAAGATATAATCAATATAATCAAAAAGATTCAAAGAGCTAAAGGAGTAACAAAAATCACATCTGAGAAACAAAGATGTGCCATCCATGAAAAAATGGAGAAATTGCTTTTAATTTGGATAAAAGAAAGGGAAATGAAAAGAAATGTAACTAGTCTGATTATCATTCAAGAGAAAGCTAGAGAAATTTTTGAAGAACTGAAGAAACAAACTCCACATTTGTCACATGAGAGATAAAATTCAAAACAACTACTGAATGGTTTTCAAAGTTTAGAAGGAAACTGGCATTAAACGTGTGGTAATTCACGATGAGTCTGCTAGAGCAGATAAAGAAGAAGCTGAGACATTCTGTCTCAAATTTGAAGAATTCATTAAAAAAGAAGGATATTGTCCATAACAAATTTTCAATTGTGATGAAACTGGTTTATTTTGGAAGCACATGCCGAACCATATCTATATTATAAAAGAAGAGAAAAATATTCCTAGGCATAAACTCTTGAAAGACTGATTGGCATTACTTTTGGGAACTAATGCTAGCAATGATATGAAGCTTATTCCGCTTCTTGTCTATCATTCTGAGAACCCTAGAGCATTCAAAAAAAATTCCGTACTTAAAGAAAGACTGCCAGTGATGTGGAGAGCAAATAAAAGGGAATGGGTCACGCAGGCTCTTTTCAAAAAATGGCTGTTTGAAGTTTGTCTCCAAGCATCAAGGATTACCTTCAGACCAATGAATTGCCATTAAAAGCACTGTTGCTATTGAACAATGCACCAGGATACCCAAAAGACATTGAAGATAATTTGCTGGAAGACTTTCCCTAGCTGACAGTTCAGTTTCTGCCTCCAAATACCATTTCATTGATTCAACCAATCAATCAAGAGGTTATTGCAGGTTTCAAGAAATTATACGTTTGAGCAATGTTTTGGTGTTTTGAAGCATGCCAGTTCTCCTCAATGATGACATTAAAAATGTTTTGGAAATTTTATATTCTTGAAGCTATATGGCTCATTCAAAAGGCATGGTCAGAAATCACTCAATGACAGTTGAATTCTGCTTAGTGAAAGCTGTGTCCCTCCTGCATTCAGGAAGAGAGAGATGATGTCCCAGAAATTATAAATGAAATTGTGACAACTTTAGAGATCTGGAATTGGAAGTGAATAAAGATGACATTGAAGAGCTCATAATAGAATCTGAAATTGATCTAATGACAGAAGAACTCCAAGAACGCCTAAATGAACAACACCAAGAAACTTAGCGAGATGTGTTTTCTTCTGAAAAAGACAAAGATGAAAAAGGATCAATGCCAACATCTGCTATTAATTAAAATTAATTAATTAACCTTTAATTTAATTAATTAATTAATTAACCCTTAAGCCCCAAGCCCGAGATATCTTGGGCTTGGGGCTTAAAGATCTTTTGAAGAAGTGGGAGGATGTCAGAACAACGGTCTTAGAATGGCATCCAAACCAAGTTGAGGTTAATAGGCTTGGGGATCTCTATGACGACAATGCTATTAATTACTTCTGAAAAATCTTGAAGAAGAGAGAAAAGCAATTGACATTAGCAATCGACAGATTCTTTAACCCCCAACAAACAGAAAAAACATGACTAATAAAAATGCAAGATTGTGTATATATGTATTTTTATTATTACATATAAATAAACGTAGTAAAAAAGTATATATTTTTATTTTTTAGAGTCTCCAGAACAAATTAATCAAATTCCCATAAAAACCTATGGTAAATTGATAATCAGTTAACAAACAATTCAGATAATGAGCAAAGTCTTGGAATGAATTATGTTCATTAACTGATCATCCACTGTAAATGTTTAAATAAAAGCAATACTATAGCAATTAAATATTGTTGAGTTGAATTCACTGAACTACATAATATATTTTAATTGTCCTATCTATATTCTTGTAACAGGTTATTGTGAACCTTTAGAGCATTGTTTCTCAACGGGGCGATATCGCCCCCATGTGGGCGCTTTTCCATGTTGAGGGGGCAATTAGTAACAATTTATATTTTGGGGGACAAAAAACAATTTTCTGGGTGATATAGTAAAACATTATACTAAGAATAATTAGATATTTTATTTGTTATATCGTACAATAATTAAACAAATAACATTATACTAGTCACTAGTCTATTCAATGCAGTATGAATTTGGCGTTAGCCTTGGCCCTTGGCATCAGAATTTTGAAGTGAAGGGGGCAACAATTCATTAGAGGAGAGGTTGAGAAACACTGCTTTAGAGCATCATTTTATTGAACTCAACCTAACATGGAACTAATTTCTACTAATCCATTTACTTTGAAACCTATACATACTCCAGTTCAGGTTACTGTTTTATTTGTAAGAAACTTGATCCTGTCTTCAACAATAGAAGTAACTTGGTTTGCCCAGGTTACTTCTATTGATAGGTCTACCACCAACCCTCCTCCTGTGCAGGGAATTCCACAATCAAGAGCTGCTACAGTAAGCAGAGGAACAATAGTATCTCAAGGCACAAGAGGATATGCTGGAGAATTTGGAAGAGGAGCAACAGGTTATTGTGAACCTTTAGAGCATCATTTTATTGAACTCCAACCTAACATGGAATTATCTGTTCAACAAAAATAACGAAATTTCTTAATGAAACAGAATATAAAAACAATGATCATTAAGTTAATCTACTTACAACTTTGGCTAAATCTTCTGAAGTAGAAAAGTCAAAGTTTTCATTTTCAAATCCTAATGCAGGTTGAAAATCCATATCTAGAATAAAAAACATACATATCAAAATTTTAAAAAGCAATTCATTATAATTAAAATTTTGATATAATGAAATATTTTATAGTGTATTGATATAATATTTCTCTCAAAACTTTATGTCCTAAAACTATTCTGTTATTATAAAGTACAAAAGCTATTTTTTAAATAAGATCTGTATTTTTAATAAGAAGAAAAATACTGTAAATATCATTAAAATATATTTTTTCCCATATTCTACATACTTTTTTCTACTTTTCTACATAATTTTCATTTTTGTTCATACATTTGTCATACCAATCAACAATTTTTTAATTCCGACTTCAAAGAAATCTGCTGCTTGTGAATCCATGACTGCAGTTTTCACTTCTTTGTCGTCATTGGACAGTTGACCACCAAAAAACTCCTTTAAGTATCGAAACAAGTAAAAAATCACTGGATGCAAGGTCTAGAATGTAAGGTGGATGATCCAGTTGTTCCCATCCAAAAGAACTGATTAGACCTTGTGTTTGTGCAGAAACATGTGGCCTTACATTATCATGGAGCAACATCATACCAGAAGACAGTAGACCACCCTGCTTGTTTTGTATGGCAAGCCGGAATTTTTTCAAGGTCACACAATACACATCAGAATTGATTATTGTGCCTCTCGGCATAAAATCCACTAATAAATCCCTTTCCTGTCACAAAAGACAGTTGCCATAATTTTTCGTGCTGAAATGGACTGTTTGGCTTTGGTTGGTGAAAATGTGTCACCATTCCATTGAATGTTGCTTGGACTCAGGAGTCATGTAAGACACCCAAGTCTCATCTCCTGTAATGATGTGGTCCAACAATTCATCTCCTTCCTGATCATATTGAGTCAAAAATGATAAAACACTGCCCAATCTTTTTGTTTTGTAATCATCAGAAAGCAATCTTGGAACCCACCAAGAACACAATTTTTGATAATTCAGTTTCTCCAAAACAATGGTATACAAAACTGATATGAAACCTGCGGAAATTCAATTGATAACATTGAAATCGTGAATTGTCAGTCCTCTCTAACTTTGTTATCCACATCACAAACCAAATCTTCTGAAATCAGAGAAGGTCATCCAGGGCGTGGCTCATCATGCACATCCTTGAACATTCTCACTCACTTTTGAACTTTACTGTCACTCATAGCATTATCACCCTAAACTTCACAAATCTGACGGTGAATTTCCACTGCTGCCAAGTTTCTTGCACTCAAGAATCAAATAACAGACTGTATCTCACAGTTGGCGGGTGACTCAATTTTCTTAAACATTATAAACTTTTACAGCTCAGCACACAGACGATATGGCTGCAAATGGTGTCTAAATGCGCGCAAAGCATGCTTGGAGCAGACGCACATATGGACTGCTGCAATTGCGCATTATTCTAACTCTCATTCACAAACAGACCTTATTCAAAAAAATAGCCCTCATATTAAACTTTTTTGAGTGCCCCATTATGCTTAGTCACAACCCTATCATATGTGGTGGTGATGCAATTGACACCCTTTTGAACAAGAGGTTCACCTGCTCAAGACAGAGGGGTAAGAACATGGTTTGTGGGATGAAATGGGTACTAAAGCAGACTCTGTTATTGCAAAATCATAATCATCCATCATACCAACACTACTGGTGAGAGAATTAATAAAATAACTACGAAATTACCAATAAACCAACAATAATTCACTTCAAAAATGAATGTTTTCTACCGTCTTCAACGGTCATCATCCTATGACGACCATTGAGGATGATGACAATTGAAGCTAGTAGAAAAAGTTCGTTTTTGAAGTGAATTAATGTTGGTTTGTTGGTAATTTCGTAGTTATTTTACAAAACCACTTATTGTGGTAAAAAAAGGCTTACAAAAATTATTCAAATTCTTCTTCTAGGAAGCAGTAAGTCCACAAAATCAGTCTATTAATTTCTTTGAGAAGCCTGAAGTCCTGGAATTATGTTGGCATTATGTCCTTCAATGGTTCATTGGCCCCAGGCTTCATTAAGCAGAATCCTTTGGCTGACAGATGTGGGTTGACCATAGGAAACATTTGACAGTCACTCATTTAGATTATGTTGACCAGGAACTGTGAAAGGCTGTTAGTAGACTTTGTAGGCAGCATATCAAGGCTATTCATCACAGAGTTTTGACAAAAATCAATAAGCAAATTGTCTCAAATTTGCATAAACATCCTCTGTATAAGATAAGTTTTTAAAAAATAACAGAGAAAAGCAGTTACAAAGTTTGTATGACTATAGAAAGCAAACAGAACAGTTGAATTTGTTTGATAAATAATTATTATTGGGTTATTCAGAAAATAAGTTTGTTTTTTTTTACCACTAGACGAATTAGTGGTATTTTTCCCGCCATTTTCGTTCTAAACCATATTATCATTATATATTTTGACAGCTAGCATTTTATGGCTTATTTGTAAAAAATTTTGTTTGATTTCGTGCAATTGTTTATTTTTTTGTGTCCCATCAAATATGGAAGATCAAAAGCAACATCTTCGGCATATTTTGCTTTTTTATCACCAAAAAAATAAAAATGCCGTTCAAGCGAGAAAAAAATCATGTGACATGTATGGTGGAGATGTGTTGACAGAACGACAGTGCCAAAACTGGTTTACAAAATTTCGTTCTCGCAATTTCAGTATTGAAGATGCACCACGTTATGGATCGCCAATTGAAGCCAATGAAAACAAAATAAAAGTACTGATTGAAGCAAACTGCCAAATAACAACACGTGAAATCACTAAGAGATTAAATTTGTCAAATTGAACTGTTTATGAGTACTTGAAACAAATTGGTTTCATTTCAAAGCTCGATATATGAATTCCACGAGTTCTTAAAGAGAAATGCTCTATTTGGTGGGATTTTAAGGAAATTTTTTTAGAGCTTTTACCAGACAATTTAACAATTGATTCGAAAGTGTACTGCATTCCAGTAAACAAATTGCATAATATCATCAAACAGAAAAAGCCAGCCAGAATTGATAAAAAAAAAACAGCTGTAGTGTTTTACCATAATAATGTCAAATTTCACACAAGTTTGGTAACTCGTCAGAAACTGTTATAACTTAGATGGGAAGTGCTATCACACCAACCGTATTCGCCAGATCGAGCACACTCAGATTATTACTTGTTCCGGTCTGTACAATTTTTTTTAACTGTAAGACATGATAAGAAATGGCACCTAATATTTACCTCTAATACCAAATTATTTAATTTTTAATCATTAATTGTAGCAAAAATAGCCCAATTAATTATGACAATCATTTGGTTTAGTATTCATAAAGAACTTTTCCTATGAAAACCAAATTCAATAAATTGAATGATGGTTAAAAAAAAAAAAAAAATGTTACTTACCATTCTTTATAAATGTATTTATTTACGAATAACTGAATTGTTCGTTTAAGTGATTCTTCAATGGAATATTTATTGTCACCCTTTTTGAAAGTGTCAAAATCTTTCAAAGGTTTTTTATAACCAACAGAAGATAACTTTGAATTTATTTTATTTGTAAACAAATCTATTAATGAAATGAATAATTTTAGAGAAATAAAATTATTACATAATCAATGGAAGAGAACATAAAAATAAAATTTCTAAAATCTCAGAAATAAAAATTTAATATGCATGTAGAGTAATATAACTAGATAAAAAACTTATTAATAAATTAAGAATGTACATTTGAAACAATATTAATATAATATTCCCATATGTCATCACTTAACGATGCCATTGTAACTGGTTAAATCAGGCATGGCCAACATACGGCCCGCAGATCCGGCCTATCTAATGAATTTATGTGGGAATTATCAATCTTTCAATATTAGCTGAATAGATCAATAAAAAATTCTGACACCTAAAAAAAAAAAAAAAAATCAACTCACTGCACGTTTAGAGTTAAACTGTACACACTCATCCTTTAACTTCAGCAATAGTTAATTTTATTTTCAGCAAACATTTTCAACCATAAATTTAATAGCCATTTTCAGCTACAGAATGAAAACAACAAAATTTTAAACCAGAATGAACAAATTATAGAATCTCAGTTCAAATTTAAGCAATATTCAAACTTTACAACATTATATATTTTTGGAAAAACTTTTTAAATTATAATATCACTAACCCAATTATAAAGGCATCATAATGCCTTTATAATTGGGTTAATATTATTCCAAAATTTTGTCCAATATGGGCTTATGAGAAACTAATGCAAGCAAAAGAATAGCTATAATACACACCTAGAGCTTAACGACATTAAAAATTCAACTTATTATATATGTTATGATATTTTGTAGCATGATCTCCAAGCAAATAATGTCTTCATAATTTGTAGACTTACCCTTGATAGATGACTTATGTGAGACTGCTGAGGGAGCACAATAGTTCAGAATAGAAAAAAAAGTGAGAGGTCACATGTGGGTGTGACTGGTACTGAGACAGCCTGAATGGTTACAACGAATCATTTATTTGATAACAAAGAGAACTTACATTTATGCAATCTTGGAAGTTCAAAGTTGGTGGTGGTCGAGTCTTTCTCTGTTTTCCAAAATAGCCCCAAATGAAGGAGTGTCCCTAGTTTGTGAGTGAAAGTTCCTTTGACATCTTGACAGTTCTAGAACAATGCAGTCAACTTCCAGTGATGAGATGTTGATCTAAAGAGGGGAGACAAAGATGAAGATAGGTACAAAACCACATTCCACAAATAGTTTAGAAATTTTCAGAACTATTATATCCTTGAAATTTGGGGTTTTTATTATTTTGTTCCTGATTACCCATTTTGACTGGTTGCTTTTCCTCATTCTCACTTTCTAAGTAGCTGCTCACTCAGCTTACCAATTCTAAGTGTAATAAGACTTGAACTCAAATCATGAGAGGTCAAAACTGACATTTAATGCAATACCAACCAGAAATGGTTGATCTTACATTCTTCTATATATTTGTGTTGTTTTTTACATACAAAAAATTATTTCTATCTTTTCCTTTT